CCTGGCCTTCTGGCAGATCTTCTGCAAGGAGATGGGAAATCAGGGCTGTGGGCACCCCCAGGTGAGCCCTCACCCAAGGGGGACATGCAGGGAGAGCAGGGATGCCCTCCACCCAGACACAGTTTGGCTTCTGAGGTGATGGGATGGGATGCGTAACATGGGGACCCTCACGGGAGTATTAGAAGCTCCCAGAGCTCTGGAGCACAATATCAACCCCTTCTCTCACCAGGGACCTCTCTGTACCACTAGCAAGGGGTGACCCACAACCCCAGTGGGGCTCAGGGTGGTACCAAGACCTGCGCCAGACCCCGGTGCCTGGGGGGCAGTTCTTTACTGCATCCAAAAGCAGACCCTCTCCAAGAGCTGGAGCAGGTCTCTTATCTCAGGGCTTCCCCGATTGGGGAGGGGGCCCTGGAGCTCAGCTTGGGCATCAATGTCGTGAGAGACCACCACCAGCTGAGCGGTGCCACCAAGGAAAGGTGACATCCCACCGCTACAGCCCAGGCAGTGGCTTCCCTGGGGGTCCTCACCCTTCCCATCAACAGCAGTGCCCTGGCCAGCCCTGGACACCGACACCGGCAGGAGGCAGACCCCTCCCCATGCCAGCCCCCACAGCCCTCACCTGCTGGATGGTGGTTTTGCCCGCAATGGCGTGGTACGAGTGGACAACAAGCGAGGGGATGGTGTTCACAACCAGGGACAGCAGAACCACCAGCAGGACGTAGGGGTCGGTCAGGGCATTCTGGCTGGCATCTGTCAATGCAAGAAGTCAGTGGGGATGTAAGGAAGGTGGACAGAGGGAACCACTGTTGCGGGACAGGACCCCACCCACAAAGGTGCTGAGGGGTCTAAAGAGGAGAGGGCACCTCAACTGGAGTCAACAATCCAGACAGCGAGATCAAGAAAGGGTGACAAAGAGATGATCTGCAAGGTGCGAGACAGCTGGTAGCACCAAGCCCAGGCTGAGCTCCCCTGCTTGGGGAAGAGAAGGACCATGGGGGTCCCCAGAGCACCTCACCTGGGAAGCGGAAGACGGCAGGGGCTATCCTGAAGGCGTCAATGCTTTGGGTCAGGAAGGAGAAGAGGCAAAAGAGCAACAGGCTGGCTGTGACCATCAGGAAGGACAACGCTGTCCAGAACTTGGTGTCCAGGACGATCTACAGGGACAAGGTTAGAGCACACAGCATCTCGTGGAGGCTGCAGGGACCCTCTTCATTCATCCACTCATCTTGAATTCTCCCCCTGCTCCAAGGGAGATCATCCCCCAGCCATGAAGCTGCTGGGATGGTGGCAGAGACCCCAGGGCTGAGGCTGGCTGTGGTCCCTGGACATCCACCCCGGGCCAGGATGGGGAAGGGCAGACTGGCGCTCACCTCCATGATGACCGACAGCAGTGCTGACGTGGCCACTGTGACGCCGAAGGACTCATAGTCACCAACAGCCTTGCTGCCGACACGGTCTTCGAAGGCCCAGAGCGCAATGTAGAAGCTGGCGAGCGAGGTGCTGACCCCATGCAGGAGCGTGACGCCGAAAATGCGGTAGTTGAAGAGCTCGTCTTGCTGCCCGATCACGTAGAGCTCAGGGAACTCCAGACTCTTCTTGGCACTTACGTCCTGCCAGGAGGACACCAAGCATCACCCTCCCCACCCACGCTGGGGGGCAGGATTGGGGCACTCCGCCCTATGCACCCTTTGGAATTGCTGCAATCATAGAATCATCGAATCATGAAGGTTGGAAAAGACTTCAAGGATCATCAAGTCCAACCGCCAACCCAACAGCACCCAACCCACTAACCCATGTCCAATGAGTCAATGGACCATTGACTCCTCCACCTGCTTGCTCTGGGGTGATGGGGAATAGAGGCACCCCAGGACCTGTGGCAAGCTTCAAATGCCCATCAAGCCGCTTGGCACCATGTCCCGCCACAAAGAGCCGTGCAGATGGGGTGCAGTGACCGCTGGGCTGAGGATGCAACCTCCAGGCAGGGGGGCTGGATGCAGCCTGGTGAACCTGTACCTGCTCCAGAAGGCCCACGGACAGTATGGGGTAGGCAGTGTAGAAAATGTTGTAGAGTGCAAGGAACCAGCCATCGTACAGAGGCTAGAAGGGAGAAGAAAGCAGCTGTGAGCTCAGTGGTACTTTGGAAAGACTCAGAAAGGATTCCCAGGCACCAGGGTGACTCCAAGAGACTCACATCCGAATGCTGGGGAAATCCCCATGGACTTGCCCCAGGATCTGCATCAGCCCCATGTTATCTACAACCAGGTGGGGTTGTAGACCCCTCAGTCATGGGGCTGTGCTGCAGAGACAGGGGGCTAGACCCACACAGTGGGGGTCAAGTCACACTGATGTTCCTTGGGATGAAAGCTCCGATTTTGGGGGAAACCAGCTTAAAATCACATGGGATCTTTCCCTGTGTCTGTCCGAGACTGAGCTGCAGCTCACAAGGACATCCCAGATCTCCCCAGGGTGCTTTTCCCAACCCAGCCAGGTAAAAAGCTGAAAACCAGTTGCACCTCAGCCAGGCAGCACCAAAAAACTGGACAGCCCAGTTACCAGGGCAAGGGAGAAAGGAGACCAGAGAGGTGACATGGACATGTGCCCGTTAGGCGGCACCAGGCATGAGACCTGCATGGGTTCCTCAGCCAGGGGTTGAAATACCAGTGTGCAGACCTCCATCAGATGGATGCGAGCCCTGCCGATGGCAGCATCCCTCACCTGAGCCGTGAATCCGTTGTGGAAAGCGAACCAGACCTGAGCCATGAGGCCAGCAAAGGTCTTGTAGAAGAAGTAGCGGAGGAACTTGCAGATGCGGAGGTATGCCCAGCGGCCGTGGACGAGCAGGAGGCGCTGGAGGTAAGAGAACTGCGCCAGGGCGTAGTCGCTGCACTGCACGGCTTGCATGCCCTCCAGCCCGCTGATGCCCACCCCGATGTCAGCAGCTGCAGAGGACAGGAGGGTGTGAGACACAGGTGGGGGGGGTTTTGGGAAGCCACGTCCTTGAATTGCCTGTGGATTGCCCCCCGGCTGATGGGCAGAGGGTGAATCCAGGTATGATGGGCAATGGGAAGATGCTCCCTCCATTGTGTGCCATGGTTGCGGGAGGGACATGCCAGGCACGGCTGGGCGTGCGGAGAGCACAGCTCCATGTCGGGGCTGCTGGAGGGGGACAGAGAGATCTCTTCCAGCTGCCCAGGTTGGGGCTTAAAGTGTCATCAAGGTTCATCCCCTCTGCTGAAGCAAGTGGTCCACCTGGCCCTTGTCCCAGGCTGGTCCTGTGCCTCTTGGTCCCCTCCCAGCACTGCAACGTGGGGAACTGGTTTGGGGGTTCCCCTCATGGCTCCTTACCACAAAGGAAGGGGTGAGGCAGTGGAGATGGCAGATGAGGCACATCCCCCCTCACCAGCCAAAACCCACACTCCCCCCTGCCCCGAGCCTCACTTTTGATCATGTTGACGTCGTTGGCCCCGTCGCCGATGGCCAGCGTGATGGCCTTTTTGTGCTTCTTCACCAGCTGCACGATGAGGGCTTTCTGCTTGGGGGTCACCCTGCAGCAGATCACCGCCTGGCAGCTGGTGGCCAAGTCCACGAAGGCTTTCTCCACCAGACTGCCCAACTCCTCTGAGCCTGGAGCCCCGCAGCAAGCCAGCCGCCGCCACAGCTGCCCCTTCTTCTCCTTCAGCACCTCTCCCGTGTGGAGGATTTTGTCCTTAGGGGGGAGATCACACAGGGTTGGGACTTTCACCCATAGCTTGAGGGCCACCAGCTCCTGAACAATGCTCTTAAGTCTTGTAGGTGCTACAAAAAACCAATCCCAGTTTCTCCAAGTTCATCACACAACAGGCACTGTGACCATGAGACCAGTTTGTCCCAGTATGACCAGAAGACCGTGCAATCAGAGGACCAATCAGGAACGCGTGGTCAAAGCCCCTGCAACACCCCATGATGGGTACGAGGTCGTTCCCCTCTCCACTCTTCATTCTCCATCCCAAAACGGGCTTTTCCCACCCCTTGGGCAGGAGGACCATCACCTCCACTGTGGCTGGTGCCCCCCAGCTCTTCAGTAGCCGTGGGGCAGGGACCAGAGAAGAGCATCCAAGTGCCACCTTACCAGGAAGTCCCCGCTGATGATGAGAGCTCTCTTCTTGTGGTGCGAAGGCTCTGGGCGCTGCTGGGAGAGGTGGCCGCTGCATAGGGCGTCCCTGCTGCCACTGACGTTGTTGTTGGTCACCCAGTAAGCCTTGAGGATCTCGCTGTGTGAGGAAGGGGAAGTGGGAATTGAGCTGGGGACACTGGGCGTGTTGCCTGGCTTCCACTGAGACCTACAGTTGGCCTTTGCCATGTCAAAGACAGCTCCAGGGAGATGGGGCTGGTACCCAGTGGTGGGAACAGGGGGGACGGAGAGGGGCTCCCAAGGGGTCTCTGATGTCAGAACCCAGCCACTGTCCCTGGGGTTTAGAGGCTGGAGTGACAGCTTGAGCACTTTCTGGTCAAAGCCTGCCAAGGGAGAGAATGCTGTAGGGGCAGGAACAGACGGGGAGAACTGGAAAAGCACCAGCAGATGATGGGATGGGGAAGGAGAAGCATCTCTGGCAGAGTCGAGCTCTGCCTGCCCTGCACAGGTTCCTACACCCTCGGGTGTCTTCAGTGGGGACAACAACATCCTGAGCCAGGAGGTCACGGTTCCTCACCTGATCTCCTTCTCCTCCAGGATCTCCATGTCGTCCGTGAGCAGCTTGCACGCGTAGCCGATGTTCATGGCGGTCTCTGCAACACGCGGGTGTCAATGGCTGATGGCCATGTGGGGCTGCCCTCCCTCATCCCGGGACAGCCCCCAACCCTTGGTGGGCAGCTGGGGGCTCTGCTCCATCACACAGCTTCCCCTGCCTCAGTTTCCCCAGGGGTGACATGATCTGTGGGACATCCTATTATCTTTTATCAAAGGGAGCAGCAGAACCTGGTTGTTGCCCACTCCCAGGGCCTCATTTCTCTTCTCTGGTTCGGGGAGAAGGTGAGATACGTTGGTTGGGTCCGAGGTTGCCTCCACTGACCTTGTTTATCTCCCGTGAGCACCCACACTTTAATGTTGCCCAGTTTCAGCAGCTGGATGGTCTCGGGGACTCCATCTTGCAACTTGTCCTCGATGGCTGTGGCCCCAAGCAGCTGGAAGGAGGGTGAGGGGGTGTCGTGACATGGGGCAGGGCAGGATGCAGAGGTGGGAATTGCTCCTGGATCCAGCTGGGGTCCTTGACCATGGGTGGACACAACCTGACAGATATCTCACCCAGTGTCTACTGGCACGTCACAAAGTCACCCTCCGTTGGGAATTCAACCTGCCCTTCCGCCCAGGGGATGGGTGTTGGGTTGGACACTTCACCCCCTCATCCCGGAGAGCTGAACCCCCCCTCCTGCCCTCTGTGGGACCAGCACAGATGGTTCCTTCTAAACCCCAGCCTCATCCCACCTGCAGGTTCTGCTCCATCTCCTCGTACAGCTTGTCCAGCTCCCGCGCGCGGTCCTGCAGCAGGACGCTGGCCTCGCGGTGCCTCCTGCTCCACTCGCTGTACTCCGCCTCGCTCACCTCCTTGCTGGCCAGGCACAAAGTCCTCAGTGTCTCCTCGGCAAAGCGCTGCAGAGATGAGACATCAGGTTTCTCTTCCCTCGACCAGAATGCCTCTCACGATGGACCAGGGCATCACGCCAGTCAGCTGCGATGCTCCCACAGGCAGAGCCAGAGACCTTCCAGGATATGAGGGTCTCCCTCTGACTCCCTCCCCCATCCTACAGCATCCCCATGAGCATCCTTGCAATGCAACTGGTCCAGGCAGAACACCAAAGGTGGATTCGACACCCTCTTAGTCCCTGTCCCGTATGCAGGAGAGGCTCCTAGAGCAGAAGGAAGAAAGAAGAACCAAATTCCTAAAGACAGAGTGAGAAAGAGCAGCAGGGGACCCCAGGACACTCAGCCTAAAGCCAGCAGCAGGGACACCAGCCCTTTCCACCCCAGGCTGGCGTGGGACTCACATCCAGCGCCATCTCAGTGAAGGTCTCATTGGGCCCTCGCCTCTGCAGCCTCTCCAGGATGACGGTGTCAGCCCCCTTGGTGTAGAGCCGGATCGTGCCCTGGGGGTCTCGCACTGGGAGGGAGGGAAAGGACAGCAATGGCCCCTGATTTACTCGTTCTCTCTTGGCTGCTCAAACCCATCTGGGTTGCCTTCACCCAGGTATCAGGGCAAGGGAAACCACAGGGATGACCAGGATGATCCTTAGGAGCCCCTGTGCCAGTTGCGGTCAATCGCAGCCATCCCGGCGCCATCCCTTGTAGGGCTGAGTATGGAAGGGACCTTCCTAGAGGGGCCCCCGGAGACACCCCACCCCGCTCACCCAGGACAGACATCCTCTTGCGGTCGCTGTTGAAGTCCAGCATGGCCAGCACTTTGTACGTCTTCTTCCTCCCCAGCTCGCTGATGGTGATGGTGTCTTGCGTTCGGGCCAGAAAGACGTACCCCAAGTTCCTGGCTGCCAACACCAGCGCTTCTTCATCCGGTGAAGCTGCCTGGTAAACCAGCTGGTCTGCAGAGGAGGAGTTAGACCAGGAGACCCTCAGCCAGGCAGCTCTTGGACATCTGAAACACCCTGTTCTTGCCCGGCACCAATATCATCTGCGGGCACCCTAAAGTCCAAACTCAGTCCTACGTGTCTCGTCATTTCTGCTCATTGCCCCAGACAGGACAAGTGCCTAAACAGGGATGAATTATCCCCCCGGTGCTTCTGTTCCAACTAATTATCTGTAAAACAAACCCAAATGGACACATGGGTGATGCCAGGACAGTGGCACAAAGCATCCCCGGGCTCTCACACCACTAGCTCCCCCCACAGCAGAGCTTTGCTGGGTGATGGAGAAACCCATCATGGCCTCAATGCCTCAAACAGCAGCTTGACCCCACTCTGAGCTCATCAACCACCACGGCAAACACACCGCCCTTCTCCTCCACCATGACGGTGTGGCAGAGGGCCAGCAGCCTCAGGAACTCCCGCAGTACGGGGTCGCTGTCCCGCTGGGCAGCTTCCAGCAGCGTCGCATCACAGAAGTCCAACTTCTTCTCCCCTTGGTGGCTCCAGGTCAACCCCGACCCCTGCAAGAGGCACAGGCAGGCTGCAGGCACCCGAGAGATGGGGCACGGGGCTCTGCATTGATCGGGGATGCTGCTGGGTTGCAATGCAGGGTGGCATGGACTGAGCCAAACTGGAGTCCGTGAGCTGAGCTTTGCACTGCCTGCACCAAGGGGGTGAGTATAAAAAGGTTGGGAATTACAAAAAAAAAAAAAAAAAAAAAATCAGAACTGCATTATTTTAAAGAACAGGGGAACTGGGTCTAAACTGGCAGCTGAGAACTAGCAAACTTGCCAGCCCAAGGAAATACGTGCCGCTCTCTTACGGCACGGGACCCTGTTTGTAAGCGAGCTCTGCTCCAAAACAACAGGCTGAGCCTGCTGCCATGGCTTTGGCCCTAATGAGGAGCGATGTCTGGCCCCACGGTACATGGGAAAGAGGAGTTACGCACCCGTGGCTGTTTGTTCTCATGGCCTGTGCCTGTACCTGCCAAAATAAAAATAATTCAATTAACAGAGACCTGGCGGAGAGCATCACTAGTGGGGGCGTCGGGCAGTTTGTCTAGAAGGGACGGCTGCTCTTGCTGGCCAAAAAGGACTGGCAGAGAGGGATGCGGTTTCAGCGTCTGCTCAGTGGCAGACATGAGCCAGGCTCCGTTAGGAGATCCAGGTTTGACTTACTTGGCTCTTGGGCTGTTCAGACTTTTGACAGGTTTTTAATGTTAAAAATTCACCCGAGTTTCCCGGGAGACTGCAGTTGGCCAGAGCCTGGCGGGATGACGGCGATGCTGCTATTGCAGAGGTGCAACACGGTACATCAGGCAGGGGAAAATTGGTTTTATTCCTGCATGAAAACTTTGCTAGATCTCTTTCTCCTCCCTTTGCTTTTATCACTGCCTCACCCCCCGCACAGGAAAACATTTCTTCCTCACATCTCATCTCCATCTCCCCTCTTGCAGCTTCAAACCGTTCCCCCTCGGCCTGTCCCTGCACCCCCTGATCCAGAGCCCCCCCATCTCTCCTCGAGCCCCCTTTCAGCACTGGGAGGTGCTGGAAGGTCTCCCCGGAGCCTTCTCTTCTCCAGGCTGCACACCCCCAAATCTCTCAGCCTGTCCTCGCACGGGAGCTTCTGTCTACGTGCTGGTCCACCAAGATCAATCCACGTGCCCCAAGCTCTCTAGCAAGCCAGGAGGAGTGGAAAGAACCAAAGTGGCCTAAATTCAAGGTCTGCCTCACTCCTGAGTCTCTACAAACTTGTGTCCACCAAAAGTTACCGTAGATGATCCCATTGACACAGCATTTCTTGAAGCTCATGACATTTTGTGTCAAGGTGCCAGTCTTGTCCGAGAAGATATATTCGATCTGGCCGAGTTGGTCATTGAGGCTGGTGCTTCTGGCTTTTGCTGGGATGTCTTTGGCAGCGTAATACATTTCCAGATCCCAGTTGATAAAACAGCTGTTCACCAGATAGATGAATTCAAACCTAGGGATAGAAGAAAACGTACACTGGGGAAGGAGATGGCATTACTGACATCCCGGGGGGCCTGGGGGATCTGACAGAGGAAGAAAAGGCAGAGGGGAACTCCCCGCCTTGGATCTTCTTGCTCTGAGCTTGGGGGAAGCAAGAGGGTTTTCATTGCTGGTGGCCAGTTTTCCAGAAGGTTCATTGCACCAGACTGAGAGCCCCCTGGGCCCCAGGCAGCTGGGCTCCCCTCTGTCAATCTGGCCTTTAATGACAAAATCCATCCATCTGGAGATTCAGTGAAGGGCCTAAAAATTTGGGAATTTCCAGCACAAACTGTGGGCTGTGCCCATCTCTTCCCCACCCTGCTGCTGCTCAGTGAGGAAATGCCACCTTCATCCATCTCATCCTCAGCCTCCCCAACATTTCTAACTTCAGCACGTGGCTTTGCATCTCTTTTCCAGTTCTCTTCTGAGAAGATCTCAAAGCACATCATGAATGTTTGTAAGATACACCCTCCATCCATCCTTACCCTCTTACGGCTAAGGGAACACAAGGGAATGACCTGCTCAGGACCACAGCTGGATCTTCTGTGCAGCCCCATTGTGTGGCTGCAAACCCAGGTGCCAGATGATGGCCAAGGGCAAGCAGTGAGGTTCTGACCTCTAATGACTTGCAAGGTCAGTTGTTCTTACGTGATATACATGGACATGGGTATGATGATGCTCAGGAGGATGGTGAAGCCCCAGAAGTTGAAGAAGGCCTGCTGGGCAGGAGTCGTGTGCTTGTAGAGAGCAGAGAGGTAGCTGTGCTTCTCCTGGAACATCCTGGCCCAGAACCCCGAGGCAACAGCAAGGCACAGCGACGTGACCAACAGCAGCAGGAAGATCTGAGGTTTGGAAGGCAGGATGAGAATGTGCCGTCACACAGAGCCCTCCAGACCCTTTCCTAGGACCAACCATCGCCCCTTCCAGATTGCTCGTCTTATTGAGCTGTAAACCCGCAGAAAGGTGTCCCTGTCTCCGAGTGTCCGAGAGACCAAGAGGACCCTGAGAGAGAGGTGACCCAGAGGCAGACAATCCGGAGCAAGAGACCACCCGGAGAGAGCCAACCTGGAAAGAGAGAGAACTTCCAGACGGTTCCCCCATCTATCCCCTGGCCATGCCGGGCATGGAATGGAACAGACCATCGGCCAGTTTGGTCTCAGCCCTGACCCTGAGGTTGAATCCTGGGCTGGTCGCTGGGGCTGTGCTCCCTCCCAGCTCCTCCTGCCCCTGCAGACACGGGCACAGCAGAGAAGCTGGAAAGTCCTTGACTGTCCTGGCAGCAGCTCTGCCCATCAGCGTGTGATCAGCTTCTCCTCAGCACAAACCCAAACAGCCTCTCCCAGCTGCTGGGATGACAGTTGACCCTGTCCCAGCTGAAACCAGGACACCAGCAAACAGAGGAACATTCATGTCCAATCTGAGAAGTGGTGACACCCAGCCACCAAGGAACCAGAATAAGAGCCATCCAATTCACTGTGATGACTGTGCTGCTTTGCTTCCCAGAGAGGACAGGCTCCTCCTTCCCATGTCCTCCATCTGCTCCATGCTAAGCCACAGCCTGCAGGTCCCTCAGCACAAAGCACCTCCTTGGACCCACGAGGTTACGGATGAGTAGAGCAGGCCAGGAGGGGCTGGAGATCCCCAATACTCCTGCTCCCTGGTTTGAAACAGGCTGGTCCAAGAGGCTGCTCTAGAGCCGAGGACTCAGAGCTGCCAGGGTCCAGAGTTTAAGCCACACAACCACCATGCAGCCTGCTCCAGACCCAGCAACCGCCACTTCCTAGGAGCATCGCTTGGTATTTGCCCATAACATGTTAAATCCAAGATATTTTGAGCAAAATATTACAAGCTTAAGAAAATCAGCATCACCCAAGCAAGCAGCCTCTCATGAGAAGACTTGTGAGCAATGCCAAGAGGCCGGAGGGCCAGGGCAGGAGGTGTTTGCAGCACACTCACTATGATCACCAGCCGGTCCATCATGCGGTCCAGCTTGGTTTTCTTCCTCTTGATCTTTCCACAGTTCCTCATAATTTTGGAATCAAATCCTGGATAGGAAACATTTTAGAAGTCAAAACACAAGTCCACAGCCCCCAGAAGGTTGACTTGCAGCTACATGATGCCGGTTTCCTCTGTTAACAACATCTCCCCACCTCTGAAGACCCCAGAGGACCTCATTCCTTGATCGGTGGTTAATGGAGCCGTGGCTGCACACTCCCAGGTGTGCTGCTGGCACCACATCTTACCCTCTCCCCAACCCACAGCTACCCATGACCAAGCTCTTGGCTGCACTGAGCCACAAAGTGCAAGAAGCCGCAAAGTGGCTCCTGGATGTGATGCAGGTGAAATATAACCTGGGATGGGTAGAGGTCTGGTACCACCACACCGCCTCCCTCCCAGTGAGCCCAACACCAGCAAAGCTTGGGACAAACTTTTGGGGTCTTGGTTACAGCGACAGGTCCTCCCACTTTGTATCAGCTGAGAACAGGACCTGCTGATGCCAGAAGCACTTGGGTAGCTTAAAATCCCAGGGAACTGGGTGTTTTCTGCCCTTTCTGACCTTCGCCCAGGCACCCACCTGCATAGATCACCAAGCCGTAGCACATGTCGGTGTTGCGAAGCTTGCAGCCTCTCAGCAAGATCCTTTCGCTGTCGAGAGAGTAGGTCTCGCCCCTCCACTCCAGCGTGCCGGTGAAGGTGTGCATGCGGCTGTTGGGCTCTTCGCAGGTCACTCGCCCTGGAGCAGGGGACACAATACAGGCGATGGCTTTAGGGGAAACGAGAGGACCTTCCTGTCCCCAAACCCCTCCGATCTCACAGAGGTTCAGGTTTTGTCAGGGCATCTCCAGGTGCTGTTGGGGTATGGGGCTCAAGGCTAAGCTGGAGGGTCACCCTGCAGCGCTGGGGAGTGTTCCTTCCAGGAGCTGCACTGGGCTGTAGAGGAGGAGGTACAAACACAACCCTCTCCATCCCCAGAGCTTATAGAGGGGAGTCTGCATCCTATGGAGGACCAAAGGGGAAAAGATCCAGGATCTGAGCTCAGTTTGGGAGCCAAGCACTTGATTCCAGTGGGAAAATCAAGCTCCAGGGCAGGGGGAAGGTGCACAACCCCGATGGATGATCCTGCTGGGGAAGAGACTCCACGCAATGTCTTTGGCTCCTTGGAGGCAGAAGCAAGTGCAGCCTCCCGTTGGACTGATGGCACTTGGTGGCTGAGGGGACAGAGATGTCCTGAGGCTGAACCGATCCCACCCCGGCATGACGGCCACATCCTCACCCTTCTGGGAGACTCACCATCGAAGGCAGCCATGCTCTCCTCACTCACCAGCTCCTGGTGGGTAACCAGAAGGGCTTGTCTGAACTTCAGGTTTGTTTCCCTGTGAACAAGAGCCAGGGAGGGAAAATTAAAACAACCCTGTGGGATGCCAGAGCTGTTAATTCTGCTGTTGGTCCCATGGGACAGAGATGGCCATTAATTATCGGGTGATTACATGAGTGATGGCAACAAAAAGTGAGCTAGGGACCTATCATGCCAGACATCAAGAGCTCACGCAGATAGAGAGCCCTGGCCTGGACACCTGGCCATTAAATCATCCTGCGGACGGAGGCGGGAGGGACGGGCAGCTGCTGTCCTCCGCCTGCCTGGGAGGGAGCCAAGAGATGGAGAGGGATGGCTGAGGTCACAGGCTGCTCTCTGGAAGCCTCCAAACTGTTTCTGTACTCCCGTTTTCAAGAGTTGGGGCTCAAATCCCATCTCTAGGGTGTCTGTAGGTTTGGCTTTCAGAGGATCCCCCACATCCCATGGTTTCTGCTGGCCCCTCCCAGCCTGCCTGACCCCCCCC